TCCTCATCTCCATCAATGTCACAGCATTTTTCAAGCCAATTTTTATCACCCTCCTACCTTTCCCATATAGACGATGGATGTTTCTCAGAGCCATCTGTCCTCTGTTCTCACCAGCCCAACTCAGAGCCTCATTACCCTCAGTGTTTTGTTTTTTAAATAAAAGTATCTTGTTTGGCTTCTCTGATTAGAGGCTTGTTATCAGTTTCCTTAGGCTACCATCACAAATCACCACAAATTTGGTGGTTTAACATTAGAGAAAACACTATGGGGAGGTTCTTCAAAAAGTTAAAAATAGAACTACCATATGATTCAGGTAATCCCACTTCTTGGTAGATATCTGAAGAAAATGAAATCAGCACTCTTGATTGTGCTGACTGCAGAATTAGTCACAATGGTCAGGATATAGAACCCCACATGTCCATCAACGGATGAATGGATAAAGAAAATGTCGTGTATATAAATATATACAATGGAATAGTATTCAGCCATAAAATGAATGTAATCTTGCCATTTGTGATGACATGGATGAACTGGAGGGCATTACGCAAAGTGGAATAAGCCAGACAGAGAAAGAAAAATTTTTTTGGTGGGGCTTTTAGTATTTTATATATATATATATCTATTTTAGTATTTTATACACACATGTGTGCACACACACCAGGCAAGAAAAAGAAATAAAATTGGAAAGAAGTAAAATTGTCTTGTTTTGCTCTGGCTAGGACTTCAGTAGTATATTGAATAGGAGTGGTAAGAGTTAGCCTTATGGTATTCCTGATCTTAGAGCTTTCAATCTTTCACTATTGGGTATGATGATAGCTGTGGGCTTGTCATACATGGCCTTTATTATATTAAAGTATGTTCCTCTACACACAGTTTGTTGAGAATTTTTATCATGAAAATATGTTGTATTTTGTGAAATGTTTTTTCTTTATGTATTAAAAGGATATGATTTTTATCCCTCATTCTATTAATTTGGTGCACCACATTTATTCATTTGCATGTTGAACCATCCATGCATCCCAGGGATAAATCCCATTTATCATGGTGTGTGATCCTTAAAAGGTGCTTTTGAATTCAGTTAGCTAGTATTTTATTGAGAAATTTTGCATCTATATTCACTAGGGATATTGACCTGTAGTTTTCTTATCTTGTAGTGTTCTTTTTCATTCATTCATTCATTCATTTAATTTTATTTTTAAATCCAGTATAATTAATGTATTGTGTTATATTAGTTTCAGATGTAGTATTTTCTTTTAAGATTTTATTTATTTATTTGTCAGAAAGAGAGAGAGAGGGAGCATAAACAGGAGGAGTGGCAGGCAGAGGGAGAAGCAGACTCCTGCTGAGCAAGGAGCCTGATTCAGGACTCAATCCCAGGACTCCGGGATCATGACCTAAGCTGAAGGTAGACACTTAACTGACTGAGCCACCCAGGCGTCCCTGTCTTGCAGTATTCTTTTTTTTTTTTTAAAGATTGTATTTATTTATTTGAGAGAGAGAGAATGAGAGACAGAGAGCACGAGAGGGAAGAGGGCAGAGGGAGAAGCAGACCCCCTGCTGAGCAGGGACCCCCCCCGATGTGGGACTCGATCCCGGGACTCCAGGATCATGACCTGAGCCGAAGGCAGTCACTTAACCAACTGAGCCACCCAGGCGCCCTCTTGCAGTATTCTTATCTGCCTTTGATATCAGGGCAATGCTGGCCTGATGAGTTTGGAAGTGTTTTCATTTTTTGGAAGAGTTTGAGAAGGAATAGCGTTAAATCTTCTTTAATGTAGAATTCACCAGTGAACCGATCTGGTCCTCGGCTTTTCTTTGTTAGTTTTCAATTAGTGATTCAATCTCCTTGTATAATCGGTCTATTCAGATTTTCTATTTCCACAATTCAGACTTGGTAGGGTGTGTGTTTCTAGGGTGTATGTTCCTAGTAATCTCTTATAAACTTTTTTATTTCTATGGTATCAGTTGTAGTGTCTCCTCTTTCACTTCTGATTTTATTGGAATCTTCTGTTTTTCTTAATCTGATGAAAGTTTTGTCAAGTTTGTTTATCTTTCCAAAAAAGGAACTCAGTTTCATTGATCTTTTCTATTGTTTTTCTGGTCTCTATTTCATTTATTTCTCCTCTGATCTTTGTTATTTCCTTCCTACTGCTAACTTTGGGCTTAGCTTGTTTTCCTTTTTCTAGTTCCTTAAGATATAAAATTAGGTTATTTTAGATCTTTCTTAATGTAGGTATTTATATCTATAAATTTCCCTCTTAGAACTACCTTGGCTGCATCTCATAGGTTTTGGTATGTTGTGTTTCCATTTTAATTTATTTGAATTTTTTTTTTTTGCTTGTTTCAAGATATTTTTTGATCTCCACTTTGATTTCTTCTTTAACTCATTGGTTGTTGAGGAGCATGTTGTTTAATTTCCACATGATTATGAATTTTCCATACTTCCTCCTGTTACTGATTTCTGGTTTCATATTATTGTGGTCAGAAAAGATACTTGGTATGATTTCAATCTTCTTAAATTTGCTATGACTTGTGACCTATCACATGACCTATCTTGGAGAATGTTCCATGTGTGCTTAAGAAGAAAGTATATTCTGTTGTTATTGGATGGAAAGATCTGTACATATCTGTTAACTTATTTGGTTTAAAGTATAGTTCAAGTCAAACATTTCTTGGTTGATTTTCTGTCTGCATGATCTACCCAATATTGAAAGTGGAGTCCTGAAGTCCTCCAGTATTGTCTGAAGTCCCCTACTATTATTGTATTGTTGTCTATTTCTCCCTTCAAATCTCTTAGTATTTTGCTTAATATATTAGATGCCCTGTTGTTGGATGCATACATATTTACAATTATCATATCTTTTTAATGAACTGACCCCTTTATCATTATATAATGACCTTCTTTGCTTTTGTTACCATTTTTGGCTTTAGAGTCCATTTTGTCTGATACAAGGATAAGCTACCCCTGCTTTCTACTTGCATGGGATATCTTTTTCCATCCCTTCACTTTTAGCCTACGTGTATCCTTAAAGCTGAAGTGAGTCTCTTTTAGGCGGTGTATAGTTGGGTCTTGATTTGTTATCCATCCAGCCACTCTATTCTTTTTGATTAGAGAATTCAATCAATTTACACTGAGTAATTATTGATAGAGAGGAGAGGACTTACAATGCCATCTTATGGTTTCTGGCTATTTTGTAGTTCCCTTATTTCTTTCTTCCTCTCTTGCTGCCTTCCTGTGCGAATTGATGATTTTCCATAGTGGTAGGTTTTGTTTCCCTTCTTTTTATCTTTTGTGAATCTACTGTAGGTTTTTGCCTTGTGGTTACCATGAGGCTAACATAAAACATCTTATAGGTGTAACAGTGTATTTTACAAAACACACAGAAGCTAGCATAAAAAACACTAACCTTTTATTACCCCTTTTTGTTTTTGAGGTCACAAGTTACCTCTTTTATATTGTGGACTCATTAACAAATTATTACAGCTATACAGTTATTTTTAACACTATTGTCCTTTATCCTTTATACTAGAGTTAAGCAGTTAACACACCACCATATTATAGTATTATAATACTATATTGTTATGTATTATGTATTTGACTACACACTTAGCTTTTCCAGTATGTAGTATATTTCTATATGTTCTCATGTTACTAATTAGTATCATTTCATTTCAGCTTTAAAAACTCAATTCAGCATTTATTAGGCAGTTCTAGTGGTGATGAATTCCCTCAGCTTTTGTTTGTCTGGGAAAATCTCTCTCCCTCTTTTCTGAAGAACTTTGCCAGACAGTGTATTCTTGGTTGGCAGGGATGTTTTTTCCCAGTACTTGTAATGTATCAGCTCACTCTCTCCTGGCCTACACGGTTCCTGCTGAGGAACCCAATGATAGCTTTATAGGGGCCCCTTACAAGTTACAAGCTTTTATTTTTTCGCTTGCTACTTTTAAGAGTCTTTGTCTTTAATTTTTTGACAGCTTTATTATAATGTGTCTTGAAGGGGATCTAAATTGATTTTATGTGGTGACCCATGAGCTTTGTGAACTTGAGTATCCAATTTCTTTCCAAGCTTGGGATGTTCTCAGCCATTATTTCTTTAAATAAATTTTCTGCCCCCTTCTCCTTCTCATCTCCTTCTGGAACCCCAATAATTCAGAAACTGGTTCTTTTGATGGTATTCCATGGATCACATAGGCTTTCCCTACTCTTTTCCATTCTTTTTGCTTTGTTCTCCCCTGACTGGATTGTCTCAAAGTCATTGTCTTCTGTCTCACAGATTCTTTCTTCTGACTGATCTATTCTTCTGCTAACGATCTCTACTGCATTTTTCATTTCATTTGTTGTATTCTTCAGTTCCAGAATTTCTGCTCATTTCTTTTTTTAATTTTCTATCTCTTTGTTAAACTTCTCATTTTGCTCATGTATTGTTTTCCTGAATTCTTTCTGTCTTATCTTGAAGTTCATCAAGTTTCCTTAAAACTGCTATTTTGAATTCTTTACCAGATAAATCACAGAGCTCCATGTTGTGGAGTCAGTTCCTGGAAAACTACTGTGATTCATTGATGGTGTCATGCTTCCTTGTTTTTTTCATGTTTTGTGAAGTTTTGCATTGCTGTCTTCCTATATGAAGTAGCAGTCACCTCCAGTCTTTAATCGCTGCCTTCAGGAGAGACCTATCTTCCATCAGCTCCTCTAGTAACTTGAAGGTATCATCAGACCCTCTATGAATACAGCTGATGCACACTTCTTGTTCCCTGTATTGGCAGAGTTCTTAAGCTTATGTGTCTTCTCTTGACTCCACACCAGGCCATGTAGTGACTGCCTTCCTTTTGTTTTACCAAAGGTTGCTGTAAAGCTCAAGTTTGTGGCCTTTCCCTGGCCCACATACTCGGGCCAGCCTTCTGTGTGTGCTCACTAGCTGTCTGCCAAGCCTTGCTCTTGCCACCACTTTTGGAACTTGTACAAAGAACCAGCCACAGGACTGGGCAGGGGCTATGTGTGTGTGAGTGGAGAACACTGAGCACTGGGGTACTCCATGGGCCAGTTGAGGGGATCTACAGGCAAGGTACTCCCATGGTTTGTAGTTGAGTTTCTTGATAGAGTTTATGACACAGTTGGTAGGATCCGTATCTCTTCAATGCCCTCTGAGAGCCCTATCTGCTGCTTTCCCAGTTTCTTCCCACCACTGCCCCCCCCCCCACTGAAGTCATGCAGCTCAAGATTCAGTACTCTAGAAAGGAGGAAAGAGGAAAAGAAACCTCTTTTGTGGCATTCTGCACAGCTGGGGAAGCCAGGTACTCATTCATGCTTTCATCTCCCTCCACAAGAGAAGTCAGGGGCTAAGATCCCTCTTGGGCCCTCAGCTGTGTTGCCTTGGGAGAGGAGTGGTACAAGTCAAGTCAAGCTGTTCTTCTTACCCTCTCCAATGCATTCAAACTAGAATTTTTTGCTCTATTTTTTTTTTTTTTTGCTGGAACTTCTCCTCTGGACTCGACTTCTACAAAAGCTCTCTCATCCATGGGTGATGGTCTAACACAGTGTTTTCTAGGACTGTGGCTGAGAGGGCCTAGAGCCAGTTCACAGGGTCCATAGCCAGGACCAAAGTCTGTATGCCTATTACCCAACACACAGGTGGGTGAGACTTTTCTCAGGACCCTTGGCTTATGGTGCTGGATCCCACAGCTCCCACAGAGGCACTTCTGTCTGTTGATGGATGCTAAATTATTGTCATTGAGGGGGGAGGACAAAAACAAGGGAAATCTTATTTCCCCATGAGGCTGCTATTACTCCTCCAGAATATCTTCTTTTAATCTACATTTCTTGCATTATTGAGATTGTGCACTTTTTTTTTTTTTTTCTAATATATTTCTTCTTTGGTCATGATCATGTCCTTTGCCCATTTTTCTTTGGAGGTGATAGCATTTTTTTTTCCTTTTAAAATTCTTTAGATAGTAAGGATATCAATTGTTTGCAATAAATATGGCAAATACTACCCCCAGCTTGTGTCTTTTTTATCAAAACAGAAAAAGAGTTGTTATATTTTTTAAAGTGCAGAAATATTAAAATCCTGTAAGAGCCCTTTATAAGAGCAAGGCAAAATATTTGACGTACATCAGAGTATACACTTCACAACTGCACATCCTGGGCTCCACCCCAACCCCTAGAATTCTGCAGTGATGTGTGTGGTTGGTTTGAGAGCCACCATAATGTAGAAACACAAGAACCAGCAGGATCACATCCACAAAGAATGAAGACTGGTGGTTCAGCAGGACCCACTGTGAAAAGACATGTGCAATCGGAATTATTTACACTATTTAACCATTCTCACAAAAATTAATGGAAGTTTTTAAAGAAGTCTTTCAAATGCAGAAATAATCTTTAATATTCCAACTGGGAGATGATTTATTTACAAGCATTTTAGACAAGATGACTCCAGTCATGGGGCGCCTGGGTGGCTCAGTCGTTAAGCGCCAGCCTTTGGCTCAGGTCATGATCCCAGGGTCCTGGGATCGAGCCCCGCATCGGGCTCCCTGCTCAGCGGGAAGCCTGCTTCTCCCTCTCCCACTCCCCCTGCTTGTGTTCCCTCTCTCACTGTGTCTCTCTCTGTCAAATAAATAAATAAAATCTTAAAAAAAAAAAAAAAGATGACTCCGGTCATATAAAAGTTTAGTTTTATTATAGCACTTTATGCAAACATTCAGTACTTTTTGCCACTTCTATAATCTTTCAGCAAGGCAGTAAGTTACAAATAAGAAAATATAAACAAAAACCATACAATTTATTAACAAAGTCTACTTTGAATTATTCTATAAGTTTTATAATGCAATTAACACCAGTATTTTATTCCATTTGATAATGTTTCTTTTGGTTCCTTTAATTACAAAATCTGAAGACTCTGACCTTGGTGAAATAATCTTCGGTTGCGGCAGGAAATGTTAAACAGGTAATTCTACAGAGTTTTTCCAGTAAGCGCTCACTTTTTAACTTTGATTAAATGCCATGTTTTAACACAAATATTAGAAAATATTTAACAGCTCCTATGGTCACAGTTCACTAGCGCTTTGCTCCCGCCTGGACACTGACCATGGAAAAATAGATGCCTTTCTGAGCCAGCAACTGTTGATGCGTGCCATGCTCCTTGACCTTGCCATTCTGAAACACCACTATTAAGTCTGCATTCTGGATGGTGGACAGGCGGTGAGCGATCACGATGCAGGTGCGGCCTTCTCTGGCTTTGTCCAGGGCTTCTTGGACAACCTGATCAATAACCACATAAATTAATTCTGATAAAAACTGTCCTCTCCCTTCCTCCTCCATAGTAAGGCCCACAATCTTCCAACAAGAGGTCTTTCCTTAATGACGGGATCAGTGAAATATCACAGAATTCACAAAGCAAAGAATTTGTCGTATTGGAAGATAAGGGAATCCTAGTCTGGATTAGTTCTGAGGCAGGAGTCATCTACTCTTGAAGTTATGACAATAAATACAGTCTGTGCAATCATTTGAAGACATTTACTGGTGTGCCCACCCACACAACATCCTTCAGAGCCACCCTCCGGTCCAGCTCTACAGCAAATCCAGGGAGACTGAGCACAGGCTGAACACAGGCTCCTTGAATTTTGGGATTTTAGTAAAGAATTAATTTGTCTTTCAGATACCTGAATAGTCAACTTTTTCTCCAATTGAAAATGATTACTAATATTTATCTTAAGGTAGAGTCAGCTTTTATAGTGTATTAACCTCCCACTTCTTTAGAGTTGGAGATGCCACTGGTAGAAATGGGAAAGTGGCCTCCTGAACATGGCGTCTTTGGTCAATACAAACTGATCCAAGGCTATTTTTTGGAGCCTGAGTGCTCTAAGACTGATTTCCCTTATTTTGTCTTAGGTCTCCTGAATAAGAGCTACAGAAAGTGTCCACATTCTGCGGAAAGCTGATGTAAGTAACAACATATCTGGGCTGAATTTTGTTCTCTACTGTGGAAGACAGAAGCATTTAAGGACAACCAATTCAAGGGTGATGAATCCAATTTAAATGCTTACCTTTTCACTCTCTGTATCCAGAGCTGATGTAGCTTCATCCAAAAGCAAAATATGAGGCTGTCGAACAAGGGCACGAGCTATGGCAATGCGCTGCTTCTGGCCCCCAGAGAGCTGGGTTCCTTTGTCTCCTACTCTGGTGTTATATTTCTGTGAATAGGGTTTTGTTATTATGAAACAGAGAACTGATAATCCTAAAAAAGAGTTTGCTCACAGAAAATAGGATGACTACGTCCATAAACAGACAAATTTTGGTTCAGAAGCTACGAATGGTCTCATAGAGGCTTAAACATCAAAAATGTAGCTCTAAATGGCAGGTCTGATCTCTCTTCTTGAAAATAGACATTTGGGGGGGCACCCGGGTGGCTCAGTCCATTAAGCATCTGCCTTCAGCTCAGGTCATGATCCTGGGGTCCTGGGATCGAGCCCCATGTTGGGCTCCCTGCTCAGGGGGGAGTCTGCTTGTCCCTCTCCCTCTGCTCCTGCTCCTGCTGGTGCTCTCACGTGTACTCTCTTTCTCTCTCTCAAATAAATAAAAATCTTTAAAAAAATTTTTTTTTAAAAATAAAATAAACATTTTGGTCTGAGAGCTATGTTTTAGCGTAAACAAGTCAATATCTTTATGAGGAAGAATACTGTTACAATGTTAGTCTCTTCCAGTCTTCTGGTTTCATTATATTTGGGACAAGTTTGGTTCGAGGAAGGAAATCGGACTTAAAGGGGCTATGCAATAAATGAAGCTCATTTTACTTACAACCAGCAGGTGGTGCTCTCTATACTGAAGTCAGGAAGGAAAGCCATTTCTTGGGATGCTAGCTAGCCTTCGGGTATCTGTTTTTATAAATCTCTAAGACTTCAAAAATTTTAATGGATGCTAAGGAATTCCATCTTGATATCTAACTTTAAAAGCTAAAATCTCCTTTTTTAATTTTTTGATTTTAGAGTTCTCCCAAAGTTCTTCACATATTGTGTCCCACAGTAGATAATTGTCATTAACTACTCAATAGGATGACAGGGACAGGAGTTAAAAGGATATGAAGGGGAGAGCAGGAACAAGACGTGACAGCAGGTGAACCTAGAGAACAATACTATCATCATTTTCAGCCCCTTGCCAGGCTGGAATTTTAGTCAAATCATGGGCTCTGATTCTGACCCCCGGAGTTTTACTTAAAAATTTATGTTCTATATAGGATTGCCTATTTTTATTGGCTATATCTGGTTGCCCTAGTTCAGTAGCAGTCAGACTGAGATCTGCACTTGCAGGTGGAGTCCCAGGACCCCAGGGCCGCAGGTGCCTCAGGAGGCAGGAGCACTGTGTGTCCCATGTGAGAGCAGGGGTTCCCAGGCTGCACTGAGACCATATGATCCTCTTGCAGCAGGTAAAGGCAGGGCTGTAACCCTGAAGGAAGTCAGTAACCAGAATAGCTTCCTGCAGGGTGAGCTAAATTCTAGTAGGAATCGCTCAGGTAAAGAAGTGGGTCCTTGGTCAGAAAACAGGGCTCAAGACCGGGAGCCCAGAAAGGCTGGGTCCCTGTGGCAGACAAATGAATGCCAGAGGGGCAAGGTATATTTAATAAGCAAGTTAATATTTACTCTCTGTGTTTGTCTTTGTTAACCCCTAGCCCAGTGGTGCTCACACTGCAGCCTGGTATCTGGGCTGTTAAAACACAGATTGCTAGACTCTACCTCCAACGTTTTTGATCCAGCAGGTTCTAATGTGATGGTTCAGGCCCATACTTTGAGATCATTAGTAAAGGGATTGAAGCTTTATCTTTCAAGTTTTCTAGCCTTGGGAAAGACCGATTATCCACAGCTGGGCAAGAAGGTTAAATGGAGGGGAAAGGAACAATTCCTCCTCCTGGGGGTCTATGATGTGGTGGCAACAGTTATCAGAAGAAGAGCCTCAAGAAAAGGAAGTTTGGGAAAGAGTTAGGGCCAGCTGGTATCGCCATCCTTCCCCATAAGGAAATTGCCTTCCCTGCTGGTTTGAGGCTACTGAGCTTTATTTTTGAGGAGTGTTTCCTTATTATAAAGAAACTAACTGGTGATAATGGGAGGGCGTATAGACAAGCCAGGTCAAGGTGACTTCAAAATGCAGCACCTAAGGGGCTTAAGAGAGGGCAAGAGGTTCCTTTTATCTAATTTCCCAGGAAGAATTTGGGGGCATCATGGACAACAGCTCAGGGAACCCCAAGGAAGGTTTTGAGAATCAGCCCTATAAGCAGAGCTTGGGGGCCATGAAATGTGCAATGATGAGAGATTACATAATACCACACTCACTCCAAGGGCTCAGCTCTATTGAGGAAGAGCCGTCTTTCTGACATGGGTTCAGTTCCCCAGCCTGGCCTGACTCCACAGAGGTAGGTTTGCAGCTTGGGAGGGAGCAGCAAGGAGGCAGAAGGAAGGTCAGGAGAGAAATGGGGGTGGAGGGGCTGGTGCCTGCTTCTGTGGGTGCTGTACTTAGGCTCAGAGGGAAAGGCTTCCTCCAAATATGCACTCTTTGGTCAGGCTTGCTCACAGGGGGAGCCAGTCGGGTGATCATGCAAACACAGTATCAAATGGGGATAGGAAGTACAGCAAGATGTTGTATACAGGTGTGTATTTCGGTTGCTCACTTCTCTTCACCTTTGGGAAACCAGCCCTTTAGAAATCAAAGTGCAGGCCAGGGAGGTTGCCACGGGCTCTTGGGCTCCTAAATTGGAGGAAGACTTACATCAGGGAGTGTCTCGATGAAGGGGTGTATGTTGGCCTCCTTGGCCGCCCGCACGATCTCTTCCTGTGACACGACCCGGCTGTTGTCTCCGTAGGCAATGTTCTCTGCAATGCTGCAGTCGAACAGGATGGGCTCCTGGGACACAATGCCCAGGTGTGCGCGGAGCCATTGGACATTCAGGTGTTTTATCTCTTTGCCATCAATTAGCTGAAAACGAGAGTACATAGGTAACTTCAGGACCGGCACATTTTTAATTTAGCAAAATCAGTATCGTTATCTCGTACACTAAAATTGTCAAGTTACCATGGGACGACATTTTTGTTGTTCTGTTGAGTTTGGGTTGTCAAAGTCAACTGAACAAGGTCATAACTGTATGCTCTGATGAACTGTCATGCTCATTCTGTTTTAACCCTGGTTTCCGATATATGCATGTGGTAATCAGGATAACACCCCCAGCCCCAAGATATCCATATTCTAATCCATGAAACCTCTGAATGCTACATCCCGTGGCAAAGGGAGTTAAGGTATAAGGTTGCTCATCAGCTGATCTCAAAATAAGATGATCTTGGATGATCCAGGTGGGCCCAGTGTAATCATGAGGGTCCTTCACTGTGCAAGAGAGAGGCAGGACAGTATCAGAGCGGTGCAATATGACCAAGACTCAATTAGTCACTGTTGGCTTTGAAGCCATTGTTGGCTTCAAGGAAGGGGCCAGGAGCTAGAGGAAGAAAACGGTCCCCTAGAGCCTGCAGAAGGAACACCGCCCTGGTGGCACTTTAATGTTAGCCTGGTGAAATCCATTCTAGACATCTGACTTCCAGAATTTGTAAGATAATAAGTTTGTACGGCTTTATACCATGAAATTTGCCGGCATCCTTCTTCTTACGTATCAGTTTTTCACAAGAAAAGTAGCTGAGATTAGACTGGAAATCAGTAACTACTGTGAGCACATAATAGGTTTGCAAGTCAGGTTTCTAAGAATCAGGTTTTGGACGAATGGGATGCAGCAGTTAAACGGAAAAGAAGTGTGGGAAGGTGGCACCTGTATCTCCATGTAGTTGTTGATCTTGGGGAAATGAATTAATTTCTCTGACAGCTTCTTTGCGGGTAAAATGGGAATTATGAGAATAATTCCTAAACTCATAGAACTGAGGCCTGCATGAGATCATGTCTAGACCCCACTGAACACAGTGCTGGGCACTACGTATGTGCTCCAAGACTGCCAGAGACTGGTAACTCTGTGTCGCTGTCATTAAAACTACAGTGGCTGGACGCAGGCTGGGCGGCCGCAATGATGGACAGATATCTACAATGTTGGGCCAACGGAAGAGGAGGGAGAAGCTGCCTCTTCTCTAATGACCTGGCTCCTGGGGTTACCCTGCAGGAGCCTGGGGAGTGCTCCTTCTAGCCTTGCTCGGATGCACATAAGTCTGCCCAAAAGATCTACTTTGCAAGAGAACTGGTATTCAAGGGAGAGAGCTATTCATCCCCTCTGAAGAAGCAAGTGACTCAGCTTCAGGCTTTTCCCATAGTGCTGGTGAGTGTCTACCGCGCTATATATACTCTCTGGATCCCATGTGCCCAGCTGGGTGTCCCTGGGAGACAGCTAGCCAGGGGTAAGGTACAGTCTTTGCCGCGGGAACGTAGCTTCTGTTTGTAAAGCTGGTAAGTCCAGGGATAGGAAACACAGTCACGACCTTATTAGTACCCAGCCCAGTTGCCATGGAGACTCTTTCAGCATCTATGTTCTAGGCTTCCTTACAGTGTTAAGTGAAGGTGGGAAGTAGAGGGTGGAGAGAGGCAGTAAAAACCATACAAGAATGTGGCAAAACAGCAGATCTTGTGAGGTGGAACACTGTACTTGAGAAATGGAAAGTTCAGGGAAGGAGTAGCATAATTTTCTCCAAGCTTATGCTCCTGGGAGGAAAACAGACACTGCCTAACTAATATGATTAGACAAATGTGAAGGATCCCATCAAGTTTTAATGAGTTTCTCTATCACACTGAATACAGTAACACTCTTGGCCCTCCTCATGCCCACATGATGCACTGGAATTGCAAATACTTAAAGCCTGTGCTACCTGAAGCATCCTTTCTGTAGAGAAAACACGTTTAGAAGCCTAAATGTAAAAGACACCAATGCAGAGGTTCTTTGGCTGAGGCATGGGTGATGGTCTGAGGGAAGA